TATATATATATATATATATATATATGTAGTTAGGTCCATATATATTTGTACATGGGCACAATTTGTATTATTTTAGCTGCTGACCAAAATTCATTCAAGTTACAGTTATATAATATATATATATAATATATAACTTTAATTTGAGGGTATTCTTATCAAAATTGGAATAAAGTTTAAGGAATTACAGCTCTTTAATATGTACCCTCCCCCCTTTTTCAAGGGACCATATGTAATTGAACAGTTGACTCAAAAGCGTTATATAATATATATATAATATATAACTTTAATTTGAGGGTATTCTTATCAAAATTGGAATAAAGTTTAAGGAATTACAGCTCTTTAATATGTACCCTCCCCCCTTTTTCAAGGGACCATATGTAATTGAACAGTTGACTCAAAAGCTGTTTCATGGGCAGGCGTGGGCTATTCTTTCTTATTTCTGCATCAATTAAGCAGGTAAAATGTCTGGAGTTGATTCTAAGTGTGTGTAAGGGAAACAGGTCAATAATTTAGCTCAAAGGGAATCATTTAAGATTTTAAAGGGAACTCCACCATTAATATGCAAAGGTCCATATATATTTGGACACAGGCACAATTTTTTATTATTTTAGCTGTTGACCAAAACATATTAAAGTTACAGTTATATAATGAATTTGGGCTTAAAGTGCACACTCTTATCTTTAATTTGAGGGTATTCTGGAGGAAAGGTTAAGGAATTACAGCTCTTTAATATGTACCTTGCCCCTTTTCAAGGGACAAAAAGTAATTGACAGTTGGGACAGTTGACTCAAAAGCCATTTCATGGACAGATGTGGGCTATTCCTTCATTATCTCTACATCAATTAAGCAGGTAAAAGGTCTGGAGTTGATTCTAAGTGTGCCATTTGCATTTGGAAGCTTTTGCTGTGAACCCACATCATTCAGTCAAAGGATCTCTACGTACAAGTGAAACAGACAATTGTTAGGCTTCAAAAACAAAACAAATCCACCAAAGAGATAGCAGGAACATTAGGAGTGGCCAAATCAACAGTTTGGTACATTCTGAGAAAAAAAGAATGCACTGGTGAGCTCAGCAACATAAAAAGACCTAGACGTTCACTGAGGACAACAGTGGTGGATGCTCCATGGTAAAGAAAACCCTTTCACAACATCCAGCCAAGAGAAGAAAACATTCCCGGAGGTAGTCGTGTCACTTTCAAAGTCTAAAATCAAGAGAAGACTTCATGAGAGAAAATACAGAGGGTTCACCACAAGGTGCAAACAAGGCCAGATTAGACTTTGCCAAAAAAAAAAAAAAGGCCAGACCACTTCTGAAAAGGCATTCTTTGGATGGCTGAAATTAAGATCAACCTGTACCAGAATGACGGGAAGAAAAAATTATAGAGAAGGCTTGGAACAGCTCATGATCCAAAGCATACATCATCTGTGAAACACGGTGGATGAAGTGTGATGGCATGAGCATGCATGGCTTCCAGTGGCACTGGGTTACTGGTGTTTAGTAGGGCTGGGTATCGTTCAAAAATTTTCGATACCAATACCTTGACTTCGATACCGGTTCCTGAACGATACTTTTTTCGATACCAATTTTATGAAATCTATTTGAACAAGATTACATTAT